GAAATTAAGTTATGTGTAATAAAATGGAATGGTACAGGGAAAAAGTATTGAACACATGAAAGGGAGCTCCAACACCAGCTGAAATCTATCAGTAATTAGAAAGCAATCCTGCCTCTTGTCAGTGCAAATTAATAGCAGCTGGTTCAGTCTAAACTGATGGCCAATAAAAAGGTGTCTCACTACCAAGGTGTCACACAAGAAATCTCTCATGATGGGTAAAAGCAAAAAGCTCTCACAAGAGCTTTGCAACCTTATTGTTGCAAAACATACTGATGGCATTAGTTACAGAAGGTTAATACTTCTGAATGTTCCAGTGAGCACTGTTGGGGCCATAATCTAGAAGTGGAAAAAAAAACATAATTTCACCATAAATCAGCCACAACCAGGTGCTGCTCAGAAGATTTCTGACAGAGGAGTGAAAAGAATTATCAAAAGAGTTGTCTAAGAGCCAAGGACTACTTGTGGAGAGCTTCAGAAGTACCTGGAATTAACAGGTACAATTGTTTCAAAGAAAACAAGTAATGCACTCAGCCGCCATGGCCTGTATGCAGGCTCACCACGCAAGACTCCATTGCTAAAGAAAAAGCATGTTGAAGCTCATTTAAAGTTTGCTGCACATTTAGAAAAGTCTGTGAAATACTGGGAGAATATAGTCTGGTTAGATGAGACCACAATTGAACTCTCTGGATGCCATAATACACACATCATGTTTGGTGGTCAAATGGTACTGCACATCACCCCAAAAACACCATACCAACCGTGAAGTTTGGAGGTGGTAACATCATGGTGTGGGATTGTTTTTCCACATACGGTACTGGCAAACGTCATGTCATTGAAGGAAATATGAATGGGGAAAAATGAACGAAGACATTCTTGATAAAAAATCTGCCATTTACCAGGTTGATGAAGATGAAGCGACGGTGGACATTTCAGCAAGAAAATGATCCCAAACACAAAGCCAAGGAAACTCTCAATTGGTTTTAAAGAGAGAAAATAAAGCTGCTAAATTGGCCCAGCCAATCACTTGACTTGAATCTAATATAAAATCTATGGAAAGAACTAAAGATCAGAGATCATAGAAGAGGCCCACAGAACCTTAAAGATTTGAAGAATGTGCGGAAGAATGGGCCAAAATCTCACCTGAGCAATGCATGCCACTAGTTTCTCCATACAGGAGGCGTCTTGAAGCTGTCATTACTAACCAAGGATTTTGTACAAAGTATTACATTTCATTTAGCATGTATAATACTTTTTCTCTGTGTCATTCCATTTTATTACACATCACTTCATTTCTGAATGTATTTGTCTTGGTTTCTTTGTATGTATGGCTTGCATGGGTTATTACCGACGTGGTGAAAATTTCATGTCAATAGCACCTTAAGAAATATATTTACTGAGAAAAACGGTGACCTGTTCAATACTTATTTTACCTGCTGTATGTGCATGTTATTTGTTTATACCTGTAGTACAGCCCAGAAACAATAGAAATTTATGAACAATTATTTATTTGCAAACTTTTTTTTATATAACCGAAACAAAGAAAAATGTGTTTTTTTTGCTTTGTTTTGCAAACATTTTTTTTTTTTTTTTTCTTTTGTTTTTTTTTTTTTTTTTTTTTTTTTTTTTGTCAATTTTAGCAAAAATAAAAACCCCAGTGGTGATTAAAAACAACCAAAAGAAAGCTCTAGTTGTGTGAACAAAATGCTAAAAATTTAGTTTGGGTACAGTGTTTCATGACCACGCAATTTGTCATTCAAAGTTTGAGAGCGCTGAAAATTGGCCTGGTCAGGAAGGGGGTTCAAGTGCCCTGTATTGAAGTGGTTAAATAGTTTTTTTCCTAACTTTGCAGCCATGTGCATTCTGAAATTGGGGTTCAAATTCCAAAGTTATACTATTGCCAAAAACTTTGAGAGGTCTACTTTTTTCTAAACAGATTAATTTTTTGGTGGTTCCTGGAGTCCTGCCACTTCTGAGCCACTGTAAATGCAGTTTGCTGCCAAAAAACTAACATGCTAGTTTTTGGCCTTTGACTGCCCAAATGCACTCCTTTTGTGTCTGGGCCCTGCCTTGTTCACACTAGTGGTGCACCCAAAAAATGAAAATTCTTGGACTGAAACCGAAAAACCAAAAATAGTTTTTTTTTTTTTTTTTTTTGTTTTTTTTTTTAAATATATATATTTTTTATGTAACTGTATTCAACTTTTTAATATCATGAATTTAAATTGATATGAATTTATTTTCAGCACCTTTTTGGCCAGTAGGCTGCTTTAGCACTGAGCAGTTTTTACATTGATTTTGCGTAAAAAAAACAAGCTCAAGAAAAATGCATCCCTTTAAATTTAATGTATGTCTTCACACTGGTCCATCACGCTTCTCTTGCGGTGCTAAAAATCTGGCTTGCTGCATTTTTGGCACATCTTTGGAGAGTAAAAAAAAAAAAAAAAAAAAAAAAAAGCACCTCTCAATTATTAAGGCCTGGTTCACACAAATGCGTTTAGGGCTTTTTGCAGAAATGCACTACAGTGCATTTAACATTGTTTCTTATGCACACGTTCACATCTATGCTTTTTTGAGTTGCTGCGTTTTTGGAAAGGGTCAGGGACATTTTTAAACGCAAAATGTTGCATTTTTGGTTCAATAGACTTCAATGGAGATGCTGAAAAAAATGCATGTAGTGTGTTTTTGATGCGTTTTCACGCAATTGCTGCGTTTTGTTTTTAATCTGCCCACGTTGGCCAAAAAGTGTCAAACACACTGCATAAAGCACTGAAAAACAGACAAAGCAAGCTGCATTAGTGTGGACCAGGCTTGAAACACTTTGAAAATGAGCATGTGTTGTGTTTGATGCATTTTTCATTTTTAATCTGCTGAGCAACGAATTGGCACAAATAAAAATTTTTTTAAAAATGCGTCAAAAACATGCGTGCAAAAGCGCAAAACAAATAGCAAACTGCATTGGGGTGAACCAGGCCTGAAACTGAAAATGCATCAAAAATGCACGTGTTGCGTTTTTGATGTTTTTGCTTTTTTTTTGAATCTGCCTAGCAATAAGTCGCCCCCCCCCCCCCCCCCCAAAAAAAAATTTTTTTTAAAGCACACGAAACATTAAAACTGTGTGAAAAAAGTGCTTGCGAAAACAGACAACACAAACTGCGTTGGCATGATCCAGGCCTGAAAATACATTGAAAACCCACCAACGCATACATGTTGCATTTTTGATGTTGTGTTGTTGTTTTTTGGGTTTTTTTATATTCACGTGACCTATTTAAAATGCACCCTAAACGTGGTAAAATTTGCGTTTTTGGCGGCCATTATTCGCACCTTTTTTCCTATCAGCAAAATGCTGATAACGCGATTTACATTTCAGCCGGCCGATGTATCGGTGCATTCCTAGTTCACGCCATGTGATTGCAACCTACTTATATGGTGTTCTTATGTATAGAAGCAGTAATTTTATAGAATCCTAAGCTACTTAAGTAACACTATTGCTCTCAAACACCCATTTTACAGGCATTGCATTGATATCTTTTCTTCCCCTAAACGGCCCTCTATGTTGACCTACATGTCCATGCCCACATGGGTGTTTAGAGGCTGGGGCATGTTCAGAAGAGGAACATTTTGGCAGAAAAAACACCCAATGTGTTTAAATGTACCTAATTGCTAGACACGTTTTTAGGGTTTGAGTGTTTGTCAATGTCCAGCATAAATAATTATTCTGGCCGATGAAATTAATAAACGTCAATGCTTGATGCGCTTTAATGTGCCAAAATGCATTTGAAAAACGCAACTTTGGCATGTTTACCGCTTTTTCCTCTCAGGAGAAGTGTACATATGAGGCCTTGGTTTCAAGTAAACATAATATAAAACTTAATTGCAGGTGCTCAAAACATTCACTTTTAACACTTTAGACTACTTTCAGTGCAATTTTTTTGTGGGGTGTTTCAATGTATTTTCAAAATGTCCTAGTGTGGGGAAAAAGCTTCATAAATATAATCGAATATACACACTGCTGTTTTACACCTTTTTAGCATTTTCCCCATAATTTGTAAAAATAAAAGCACCCCCTTGCAGTGAGGATTTTTTTTTTTTTTTTTGAATTTCACCTTTTAAATTTGGCGGCTAAATTAGTTTTCTTAGACTAAGAACATTTTTTTTATGAAGTACAGAAAATACCTGTTGACCGTGCCAAAAATGTCCTTGTCATTTTCTGTGATCTGAAAGGATAGCGTCAACTATCTCCTTTTGTACACTACTAGTCCAATCATTTTCATCAGTTGATGGAGATGAGCAAAGGCAGACATGTATGAAGTCAAGACTGTAAGACCTCCATAGGTGCAGTGAAGAACGTGGGGTTTTCGGTTTAGCTGTGCATTTGTATTTCTTAAGAGTACATCACAGGACACAGAAGAGTTGCGTCATTGTTACATGTGTTAGGCCTCTTTGACACGGACTGACCGTTTGGGTCCCCCTTCCTGTTTTTCAGGTGGACCTGATTGGACCATCCTTTGTTCTCTATAGAGCAGTGGCTGTAAACAGACATGTCCGTTCCCCTCACATCTCAGCTAAGCCTCGGGTTTTGTAGCAGGCAGTGAGGAACACAAGCCAGAGGAGAGGAATCTCCGTCCTGTGATATATTCCAAGAAAAGGATTTTACAGATAAACAAGAAATCCTGATTTCTTTATCGTACATCACAGGACACCGTGGAATTAAGTAATTGCATTGGGACAGTCCATGTAGTAATGATTCTGAGGGGAGGAGAACACAGAGACCAGGTCCAGTAAGCCCAAATCTCCAAACAGAAAAGGGGAACCCAAAAAAAGAGAGGACTTTGGGAGTTTTCCTTCACTGGGATGATCAGCTCTGGGGTAGAGAGCATCTTCTAATTGGAAAACAAAATGTACAATAAGACTATGCTAGAAATAAAAATGCATTTTGAATGTATAATACTTGTGTAAATTCATACATATTATTTATGTTTTTAGGAGTTTGATCATTTAAGATGTTTTCCAAAGCCACAAAAACTTTTCTGAGAGAAATCGATGCAGGGGGCGATTTGATACCAGTCTCCAGTTTAAATGACTGCGATAAGGCCCAGCTTCTCAGTGTGATGGCCAAGAAGAAGCGATTCTGGTGGTGGCAAAAACCGAAGTACCTTTTTTCATCGTGTGCATGTCTTCTTGGTGATGTACTGACTGATGAGAAACCAGTGAACCCAGGTAAGGGTTATTCAAGGAGAGGTCTGCAGTCATTGCATGCTGTGTACTGGTGTCTGAGCTGAAGTGCTATTAGGACCTTTATACTGCCATTATGATCGTAAATATGCACAGCTGACATGTGTTGTAATACTTCAAGGGAGTGCTTGGACTCTCTTAAAGCAGACCTTCCAGTAGCTTTACAAGTTTGCTTGAATACATTTCTTACACATGCAAGGGAGCTAAAGAAGCCAACTTGGATAAAAGGTAGTAGGCTATATAGAAATTCTCTACAGGCAGCTGCAAAGATCTGTCAGCACTGAGCTTCATCTCAAGAAATCAATGGGGAGCGCCTCTAAAGCCGGCCATAGATGGATTGAATCTCGGCCGGTTCAGCAGGACTGTGGTTGCAGGAAAGAAAGTTGCATACTCTATGGGCCTACCTTAGAGTACCTGGATCTATAAAATGAACACGTAAAGGGATCATCTCACCTGGCTTAGTTTAACAGCTGTATAGTCTGCTCCTCTAAAATTTTGTATAAATGTTACCGCACACCCAAAAATGTGAATCCAGTGGATCCTTTGGGCATCCTTTTGACATGAAATGTCACAATCAGGCCAGCAGGGGCCTGTGGTGTGTCTGAGTTGTACTGTACATGAACTAGCTTCCCACATTGTGTTGCAGCTGCTCACTACTTGATTACTACACAGACCACAGTTGTTAAATTTTAGCTGGCCATACACTAGAAATTAGTTTGAAATGTTGTAACAATGTTTATTTAGTTTTCTAATAACTAGTAGGGTCAAATCAATGTTCAAATCATAATTTGAAGAAGCAGGATGGAAAATGTATCTCAAACGAACAAACTTCTAACAGTGAATGGGGTTTTCATTAGGAAAGTTAAATTGTTCCAAAATTGACTATTCCGTTATTGTGCTTCCTCTATCCAAGGAAGACATGTTGGTTGAAACATGCTGGAAGGAGGCTCAGGATTCTCTTTTGCAGCCCCCCTCACCAACCCCCTCCTCGATAGTGGTGCCCTCACCCATTCTTGCCTCCTTTCTTTATTTTCATTTAGGAAAGTCCTTTCATCAATCCAAAATCAAATGTTAACAGCAAAAACATTTTTGAAGTACTTGTGAATGACATTCGTCAAGTCATCAAATGTTCTGAGAATTTTAGTAGGAATGGTCATATGAAAATCTCTAGAGCAGTGGTTCTTAACCTGGGTTCGATCGAACCCCAGGGGTTCGGTGAGTCAGTCTCGGGGGTTCGGCGGAGGTGACCCACACCCGACTCATATGATTTGTGATGACATGCCCAGTGGTCGGCAAGCCGCGGCTCTTGTGTGCCGGGCGCCCGCTCCCCTCCCTCCTTTCGGGCGGCAGGGACTCAAATGCAATGATTGGCCAGTCTCGCTGCCACTCACATCCTGATAGCCAGTGATTGGCTGTCAGGATGTGTGTAGGCGGGGCAGCGTGACGAACGTGAGAGGAGCTAGGCTCCTCTCACAGTCCGCCCTGAAGACCGGAATGGCGCGGGAATACAGCGAGAGGAACGCGCGGAGCAAAGGTAAGTGAATTGACACAGGGGGGGACTTGGGGACTTAATATGGGGGATGAATTATTATGGGGAATGAATTACTATAGGGGGGATGTATTACTATAGGGGGGATGTATTACTATATGGGGGATGTATTACTATATGGGGGATGAATTTTCATACCGTTTGTTACAACATATCTTTGCGAGCAATCCTTTTCGAGGATGCTGGACATAAAGACGAAGAAAAGGAACAGACTTTGTTGCGAAAATGACATGAGAGTGGCACTTGCCAAGGTAATGCCGCGCATTTCTGAACTGGCCTCTGAAAGACAACAGCAGAAGTCACACTGATTTGCGGTAAATATTCATTATTTTGTTTGTGTGAAAATCATGTTTTAATGGTTTTGTTCTTTGTTCTTAATGGTTTTGTTCATTTTGTGCACCTATGTATAAATATATACCTATGTTTTGAATTTTAAAAATCATATTTTATTTTTCCAATTAGGAAGGGTTTGGTGAATGCGCATATGAAACTGGTGGGGTTCAGTACCTCCAAAAAGGTTAAGAACCACTGCTCTAGAGTATGAACAGCTTTTTTTCTAAGACCTCCCGATCCCACACAGCCTGAAACATGAGGGATCTTGCAAAGGCATGGGGGTTTACATGATAGCCCTATTCGTGGGCCCAGCATCTTCATACAGGATAAAGTTGGTGACGATGGATGGGGATGTAGCTCAGTAGTAGAGCGAATGCTTCATTTGAGACCCTGGGTTCAATCCCTGGCATCTCCAGGTTTTTTCAGATGTCTTTGTATGCCCATTGCTAATGTATATTGCCCTGTAAAAATGGACATGCATATTGATTTGTGAGTGTTCATATAAAGGAGAGATCTGTAGTATGATCATTTGTTAGATACATGTGCTGATATTGGTTTGATCAGAAACGTTAACAATTCCACCACAACTATTGGAGAACTCGGTCAAAAGCGCAATAAATTGATCAAATTATGGTTCCTATTCAATATGAACTTTTAGTTGCAACCAACGATGAGTTGAAAGATCATTTTGATTTGCCACTTTAAAGTGCAAATTATGGTCTGAGAATTGATGTAAAAAAAAACCTATGGTGCATGTGCAACTGCTGCATGTGATATAGGATGCTATCCAAAAAATGCATTTACCCAAAAGCCAGTCTGCGGTTTACAGAAGGAGGGGAAAAAAAAAAACACATTACAAGGCAGAAATGGGCCCATTAATGTACAAACTAGCTATGGCTATGTTTACAGTATGTAAACCTAATCATCAACAATTAGTCAATTTTGATCCTTTTTAAGGCTTTACAGTCAGTTCCAAAAAAAATCTGAGTGCATCTGTCTGTGTCTGACTTAAAGGAACCAAAAAATAATATATATCATTTTTAAATTCTGCTACGCCATGGTTTACATAAATATGGTATGCTGTAAAAAATACATCAAGGACCAACAGTTTTGGAGGTGGGTTATAGCCCATTTATTTAGAATTGGCTTCAGAACTTAATGCAATGCACCCCAATGCATTAAAATACAAAGCTATTGTGTGGCATAAAGGGGAAGTAGCTCAGTGGTAGTGTGCATTCTTTGCATGTGTGAGGCCCTCAGTTCCCACCCTGACTTCTCCAGAGACTTTTGCAGAAGTAAAATCTGAAATAAAATTGCATAGCTGTAACAGCCCACTAATGTACACTATCAATAAGTGTATTTGTATAAGGCTAATATTCAAATTGAAGTGTCATCACTTCTGAACAACCCCAGTCAATTCTGCGTTTGTTTTTTTGTAAGAGGATAAAGCTCAGTGTCATGATTTGATCCCCTAATACCTAACGATAATTCTGTCTCCCACAGACTGGCTATGTGCTCTTGTGGTACACAGATAAGTCCTGTCAGTTTAACCATTAGCCGCCCGGCCAATGGCCGTTTGGCAGCTGGCAAAATCTTTCAGCGTTCCGGGTGGACGCCATATGGCGTCCTCCCAGGCATGCGCAGTTTGCACGCCTGCAGAGCTGCACAGCAGTTCAATCTGTCACCGGCCGCTCGTACCTCGGACACGGCCGATGACAGATCTGAGTACCGGCCCCGTTGCCGGTACCATGTGACCTGCTGTGACCAATCACAGCAGGTCACATGTCAGTTGTATACAATGGATGGCTTCATTCATGCCATCCATTGTATACTAGTGTGCCTAGCTGTGAATGGTCACAGCGATCACATGCAAAAGCTGGGCCAATCACAGCCCAGCTGTGTCATGTGATTAGCCGTGGCCAAATCACAGCTAAGCACAAAAAAAAGCCCTGAATGAATCTGTCATTCAGGTAAATGAAAAAAAACTGATCACTTCCCCAAAGTAGTACAGTGTTACTATGGTAACATTGTACTACTTTGGTACTTACTATGGTAACATTGTACTACTTTGGTACTTACTATGGTAACATTGTACTACTTTGGTCAAAGTGAAATATGAAAAAAAATCTAAAAGGAAAAAATGTAATAAATTAAAAAATTTTGTTTTTTGTTTTTTTTTTTTTTTTCATACTGTCACCAGTCAGTGTCCCTGATCACCGCCATGCCAGTTATACGATGACGCTGTACTGCACTGGTGACAGTATGTAAAAAAAAAAAACAAATTGTGAAAATAAATTTAAAAAAATTTTTCATTTTCTGAAAAATTATGACAAAAATACAACTTCAAAAAACTCGCCATGTCTCTTATGAAATACGTCGGACTGTCTACTTTGCAAAAAGGGGTCATTTGGGGGATATCTGTACTGTTCTGACATTCTTGGACCTCAAGAAATTAGATTGGCCGTCAGTACTTCAGGATTGATCAATTTTCAGATCTATACCATAGTTTTTGAACTCTATAACTTTCCTACAAAATAAAAAATACATCCTAATTTGGGTTATTTTCACCAAAGACATGTAGCAAAATACATTTTGGCCTACATTTTATGAGGAACAATTATTTATTTGCGAACGTTTATAACAGAAACAAAGAAAACAGTGTTTTTGTTTTTTGTTTTGTTTTTTTTTTTTTTTTTTTTTTTCCCCCCCCAACATTTTCGGTCTTTTTTTGTTAATTTAGCAAAGCATAAAAACCCCAGTGGTGATTAAATACCACCAAAAGAAAGCTCTAGTTGTGTGAAGAAAATGATAAAATTTTAGTTTAGGTACAGTGTTGTATGACCGCGCAATTGTCATTCAAAGTGTGAGAGCACTGAAACCTGAAAAATGGCCTGGGACGGAAGGGGGTAAAAGTGCCCGGTATGGAAATGGTTAAGAAGGTGCTCCTAACGACAACTCGCTATTTTGTATAAAAGACACCTGCCCACAAAATCTTTCTTCCATTCAAACTTCACCATCATGTGCAAAGAGCTGTTAAAGGACTGGAATGGACTGCAAGGATGGAAGGAGTTTCAAGACAATCAGCAAGAAGCTGGGGGAGAAG